GGAGTCCAATGGAGTCCGATGGAGTCCGATGGAGTCCAATCGAGTCCTATCGACATTCCAGCGGAGTCCTATGCAGTTCAATAGGGCCCAATAAAGTCAAGCAGAATGCAATGGAGTCCAATGGAGTCCTATGAAGTCCAGTAGAGTCCGATGGAGTCCCATGGAGTTCAATGGAGCTCGATGGAGACCACTGGTTTCCAATGGAGTCCAATAGTCCTGTGAAATCCAATGGAGCACACTCTTGATATGGACCCCAGCTATTCTCTCTGATCACATTTCTAGCCAACATTTGTATAATCATATGTTCGGCAGACACTTGGCATTGCGTCAGCCCCAAAACAATCCCGAGACGGCCCAGGACAGTCTACACGCGAGCCCAGGGCGCCCTGGGACGGCCCCAGCTCGGCCCCAGGACGCCCAAGTGTGACCTCCAGACGGCCTACAGCGCCCCCAGGACAGCCCAGGATGATCTCGGGACGGCCCGAAGACGCCCCCGAGACGCCTCAGGGTGGCCCCAACACAAGTCAATTTGAGACGGCTCCGCTGCGGTCCGAGACGGCCTGAGATGAAGCCAAGACTGCACGAGGCAGCCCCAGACGGCCAACGGACACTCCAGGATAAGGGGCCACATGCGAACCCTACCCCTACACCCCACGATTTTTGAGGGGGAGGGTGGGGTTCACTTCGTTGGGGAGCTCCCGAGCGAGCGAAGTGAACCCCACCCTCCCCCTCAGAAATCGTGGGGGGTAGGGGTAGAGTTCGCATGTGGCCCCCTATCAGGACCCAGAATCAGTCAACCCGATCAAATCGGAATGTGCGCCAGACGGGCCGCATCGGCACGGAGTCGGACTCGAATCGGCCGGGGCAGGATGCACAACGTCGCCATGCAGGCATAGGGGCCGCCCAAGCGGCCGCAGGGCGGCCCTAGAACAACCCCAGGACGTCCCAGCACCGCGCCACGACGGCGCAAGACCCCTCCTCCTCCTCCTCCTCCTCCTCCTCCTCCTCCTCCTCCTCCTCCTCCTCCTCCTCCTCCTCCTCCTCCTCCTCCTCCTCCCAGCACCGCGCCACGACGGCGCAAGATGGCCCCCGCAGGGCCCCAGCACTCCTGCACGGAGCTCAAGACGGCTCCTTGGCCGTGCAAACATCGACCCCGGCGCCCAGATGCCTCCAGGGGCACTCGCTCGACCTGGGCGGGCGGGCTGCGCTACGAAATGCTTGCAGAGCAAGTCCGAGGCGATGACTTACCGGGTCGCTTCGTGCTCGCTCCCGTGCCGCAGAGAAACCCCCTTAGCAGCTGCCGCGGAGAGGACGCCGCTGCCCTGGTTTTGCTTGCACGCCGGAAGCAGCTGCACGGACAACAGCACACCGCGGATCTGATCTCCCCGCGCCCTCCCCACCTCCCTCAATTTCACGAGGTGCAACGTTCGGGAGGGGACAACTCAGACGGGGGAAACATGGGCCTGGAATCGGCGATATGTCGCTAGGGTCAGGTCGGGCATGTCCTCCCACAGGCGGAACTTCGGAAGAAACATCAAAAATTGACACAATGCAGAAAAATAGTAAAATATACTCGAAAAGTCGTCCCCAGACTATTTGTCCCAACCCTCCTGTGGTTGAAGTACTCGTTTTGAATAGTGCAGTGTGGTCGCGTCCTTCTTCCTCCTTCCTCACACCCCCCATCCACGTCCTCCTCCTCTTCCTCCTCCTGCGTCTCCTGCCTGCCATCAGAATCATCATCATCATCATCATCATCATCATCATCATCATCATCATCATCATCATCATCATCATCATCAGCAGCAGCAGCAGCAGCATCATCATCAGCATCAGCATCAGCATCATCAACATCATCATCATCATCATCATCATCATCATCATCAGCAGCAGCAGCAGCATCAGCATCAGCATCAGCATCAGCATCATCATCATCGTCATCATCATCATCATCATCATCATCATCATCAACATCATCATCATCAGCATCAGCATCAGCATCAGCATCATCATCATCAGCATCATCATCAGCAGCATCATCATCAGCATCCTCTTTATCATCATCATCATCATCATCATCATCATCATCATCATCATCATCAGCAGCAGCATCATAAACATCATCATCATAATCATAATCAGAATCATAATCAGAATCATCCTCCTCCCCCTTATAATCAGCATCATCATCATCATCATCATCATCAGCATCATCATCATCATCATCATCATCACCATCATCATCATCAACCATCATCATCATCAGCAGCAGCAGCAGCATCAGCATCAGCATCAGCATCATCACCGTATGATGCCTGGGGGGCTGCGATCTGCGCAATTTTCGCCACTTTCGTGGGGTCCTGGGAGGGCCAGCGGAGCGGTGTCCCACGCACACCCAGACGAGACCTCGCGGCTCCCTGGGGGGCTGCGATCTGCGCAGCTGTCGCCAATTTCGTGGGCTCCTGGGAGACCTGGCGCCTCGCCGTCCCTCGGGAGCTGCGAGCTGCGTAACCGTCGCCACCTTCGTGGGCCCCTGGGAGGGCCAGCGGAGCGGTGTCCCACGCACACCCAGACGAGACCTCGCGGCTCCCTGGGGGGCTGCGATCTGCGCAACTGTCGCCAATTTCGTGGGCTCCTGGGAGGCCCGGCGCAGTAACTTTCTACGAGGACCAGGAAGAGGCCTCGCCGTCCCCTGGGAGCTGCGAACTGCGCAACTGTCATCACCTTCGTGGGCTCCTGGGAGGGCCAGCGGAGCGGTGTCCCACGCACACCCAGACGAGACCTCGCGGCTCCCGGGGGGGCTGCGATCTGCTCAAGTGTCCCGCAACGTAATTAGCGCATGGCGCTGTTCCATCGCAGATTGCGGGGCGCTGTGACGTCACGCAGCGCATGGCGCTGACCTCTGCCAATCGCACACCCCTCCCCAGCTACCGCTTGCCCGCATTGCGCTTGGACGTTTGCACCATTCGGCGTAGCGCGGTGTCCCACGATAGCGCGCATGACGCTGTTCAGCGGGGAGCACGTAGCGCAAGGCGCTATTACTCTGACTCATAAGTTTCCTTGTTGTCCTTCCTCCGTATGTTTCTGCTCATCCATTTTCCTTCATGTGTCAAATCGCGTGTACCATGATGCCTGCGATACGAGTCGCAGGAACGATGCCGCGGAATGAGGGACACGTGATATGCAGCGCTTTTCGGCGAAGCGTTACTTGGTAGTAAATGTCTTCTTTGGTATGGAGCGGTCCTGGGTGTGGCCACCTCATGCGTAGGAAGGGTTGGGTACGTCCCCGGGCAATGCGGGCGCGGCCGCAAGAAACCCACGCAAGAAACCAAACCCTAAGAACCCGTGCGCGAGGTACGTCTCAGGGGAAACCCGGAGCACCCTGAACGCAGCAGCTCCTTCATCGGCCACGGGAAGCCACCGCGCAGCTCCAGGAGCGAAGAGACGGACAGCATATGGCTTCTTGATGCGCGCCCCCACTGTATATTTTAAATGCTCCTCCTGCGGAGGGACATGCCCGACTCCTCCTCCTCCTCCTCCTCCTCCTCCTCCTCCTCCTCCTCCTCCTCCTCCTCCTCCTCCTCCTCCTCCTCCTGCAGAGGGACATGCCCGACTTGAACGCTGAGAGCCCCGGTAAGGAGGCGGCACGTTCCCGGCCGGGGCGGGCGATCGGGCCCCTATACAGGCCATATCTCCCTGGGCAATTGGGAGACGACGCGTCCAACCCGGAGACTGGCCCGCCCCCCGGTGATATTCCTCCTCCTCCTCCTCCTCCTCCTCCTCGTCCTCGTCCTCGTCCTCCTCCTCCTCTTCTTGTTCTTCTTCTTAGTCTTAGTATTAGTATGATGGTGCAGCGTAGTAGTAGTCTTCATCGTCTTGGTATGCTTCGTAGTATTCGTGTTACTATTACTATGTATACTATAACTGGTAGTCTTATGATTAGTAGTCTGACTGTTAGTATTGATTGTATTGTTCTTCTGCCAAGTAGTACGATGCGTGTGATCAGTACGATTATACTTATTAGTGGTAGCATTAGTACTATTAGTGCTAGTAGTGCCCGTCGTATTGTTATTAGTCGCATTCGTCTTATTAGCTGCACAACTAGAACTAGTACTATCCGTATTACTTGTCTCAGTCGTGTTCGTTTTCGTTTTCTTCTTCGTCGTATTATTGTTTGTTCGTGCTAGTGTTGATCGTATGATGATTTGTCGCATGATTATTCTCACTAGTACTCCCATTACCCTTGTTATAATTACTACTACTCGTCCTCCTCCTCCACCTCCTGCTCCTCATCCTTCTCCTCCTCGTCCTCCTCCTCCTCCCACCCCCCCAATGATCCTCCTCGATGTTGGTGCTCGGGCCATAACTCGGGTCTCCGGCGGCCGTTCGGGACGATCTGGACACCCCCACAACGCTCGCGGCGAGGCGCCGCCGCTGGAAGGCATCCTAAGGCTGGAAAGCCGCCGAGGGCCAACGAAGAAGCTCGAAAAACTGGAACCTCGAAGCCGAGCGCCTGACGCTGACCCCCTGGCTCCCGCGGTGCGAGCACGCGGCAAGCCGCGTAGGCAGGAACAGGCCGAGCCGCCGAGCAGATGGGGCCGGAGAATCCGGCTGCATCCCCGATGCATCGCCGATGCGCCGGCAACGTTTGCGATGCCTCGGCGACGTCGGCGTGGAGAAGATCGGGCTCTGCATCGAGCGACATCGCCGATGCGCGATGTGGCGCGATCCTCCGACCCCATCTACTCGGTCCCCATGTGGGAGTCCAAGAATCGGCGGCGTGCGAGGGGCGGAAATGAGAAGGGGAAGGCCTTCTCAGAAGGCGGCGGGACTTCTCAGAAGCCATCTCGCCTTCTGAGAAGTTTTTGCCTTCGGGGAAGACTTAGAAAAACAACTTATCAAAAGCCAGGGAACCTCCGAAGCTTCCGAGGAGGCATCCTCCTTCTCACTTTCCCCTCCTCGCTCGCCGCCGATAGGAAGGTTCAGAGGGCAACGATGCCCACCATCGTTGTCTTCGGCGCCAGGTGGTAGTACGGGCACCGGGCTGGATTCTTGACCGACCTGTGCGCGGCCGCCCCGCGGCAACGATCGCCAGCATCTGTGACCCCTCCCGCGCGGGATCATCCTGCTCCCTCCCTCCTCCTCCTCCTCCTCCCTCCTCCTCCTCCCCTCCTCCTCCTCCTCCTCCTCCTCCTTCCTCCTCCCTCCTCCTCCTCCCTCGTCGTCCTCGTCCTCCTCCTCCTCCTCCTCCTCCTCCTCCTCCTCCTCCTCCTCCTCCTCCTCCTCCTCCCCGACAGTAGACGCAAGGACGTGAAGAATGCTCAGCACCGCCACAGTTGCGTCTGAGGCGTCGTCGAGTGGCGGAGCTGGCGGGCAAGTCTTGGCGGACAGCCTCCCCACGACTCGGGTCATCGACCCCCACCTCTCGGGTGGCGGATTTCTCAGCTTTCCCTTGGAATGGGCAGAAGGGAGAGGATAAATGAGGGAGGAGAAGCAGGAGGGAGGGCGAGGAGGGGAGGAATGCCAGAGCAAACCCAGCACGCACAACTGATGCTGCAACACACCTTGCCGTCGCACGCCCCCTCATCGTACGACATGGTATGTAGTTCCGTTCGCTACGATGGGCATCCGATGGAAAGGCGCTGATCCTATGGTACTGCATGGTGAGGGCCCGAAACGCTTTGGAATGCTCATCACTGATCAGATGCAGGTGCGAACGCATAATGACGGAATCGCCCTGCACCCAGTTAGCCATCAAAAACTGTTAGGGTATATGCGCTGAGACCGAATTAAAGCACGATGTTCAAAAGCTGCCGCCCTTGATCCGTACATCTGATGGGGATAAAAAGGATTGTGTCCATAAACCATGAGGGCATATCACCCACCCATGTACACGCTTGAAAGAGCATGACCATCGCACAACCGACCGATGTATTCAAAACAAAAGCACGCGAGGCAGCATCATGCTAAAGCCAGTGATGATCAGTGATGGACATGTACTACACTCGCAGGTGTAATTGCTGAAACTCTCAAGCCATCTGACCAAGTCTGAAACATACTAACAAGCCGTGGGACCCGGCGAAGTCTTGTAATTGTTGGAACGGCAGACTCACAACGTCTGAAAAATAAGTCCACCAGTTGAAAAAGGTGCCACCCTCAGCACGTGCAGTTGTCGACGGAACGTCTGGCTCACATTCGACAAAATAGAAGCAAGTCTCGAATGAGAGCCAGATGTGGACAACGAACCACCCCTCACCACGTACTCCAGATTCCATGATAAAGTGGGGGGGTCACATTTTGGGGGGGGTCTGATTTGAGCTGTCTTGGAGGGTTCGGTGGGGTCTGGGCAAAGGGTCGCCCTGTCATGGATGGTCTGGGAGGGTCTAAAATGTCTCGTCTGGAGCGTTAGGAGGACGGCGCTAGGCTCCAGGCTGGCCCCGCGCGCGCGCCCGCGCTGGGGCGCGAGGCCCAGGCAGAGCCGCGGACAAGCAGCCCGGCGCGACCAGCGACGGCGACGGCGGCTACGCGGCAGCCGCCGCTCGCGCGGGGGGGCGGGCGCGGGGAGGCGCCGTCGGCGCGCCGCAGGCGCGCAGGGCAGGGCAGGGAGGCGCTGCCCTGCAGGTGGCACCAGGGCCCAAGTGGCCTGGAGCAGCAAGGAGGGGGGCGCGATGCAGTGGGGGCCCGACCACAAGAAGCCTTCCACCAGAAACCCAACCCTGAGACCCCAGGAGGTGCATGGATTTTGGACGTGGGCACGTCACCACGCTCTCCGTGGCAAAAGAGCACCGAAGCCCAAGAGGCCCGAGGCACCTGGAGGCAAGCAGGGCGTTTCTTGGCATGGGCCCCCACAGCACGAGTTGCACAGACTTCTATCACACAGGCCCTGCCCAGAGGGACGCTATAGGCATGGGGGGCCCAGGGAATGTGCCGCCGGGGAGCTCCACAGAAGCCATTGGCTCACGCATCTCCAACATGAGGGTAGTCACCGCTCCCATCACAGCATCAGCGCGCGGGCCACGACTCGCCAGAAGACGCTCCACCCGCCTTCCAGAGGTATCGGCAGTAACTTTGTGGCGACACATCCGTTGGAGACGTGTGACATCAGTGAAACTGTAGGCCGTGCAGGGGCCGCAAAACACGCATGACCCCGTCATGCTTACAGAGTGGACGCAACCACCAGGGGCGGGACAGCTCCTACTAGCAGGGGTGCCCCTGGTGCTGCGAGAAGCCCAACAAGTGCCGCATCTGAACGCTTCAGGCGCCGATCCAGAATAATCTGATGAGGAAAACGAGGAGGAGGAGGAGGAGGAGGAGGAGGAAGAGGAGGAGGAGGAGGAGGAGAGGGAAAACTCCAGAGAGAGTGTGGGGGGAGAGAGGGGGGCCGCACTCGCCGGTCTCTCGGTGCCCTCGGGCAGCGTAGGCACTGCCGAGGAAGCCACACAGCCAGTACACGTGCCCATGGGGGATGGCAACTTCTCCTCATTCTCCTCCTCCTTCTCCTCCGCCTCCTCCTCCTCCTCCTCCTCCTTCTCCTCCTCCTCCTCCTCCTCCTCCTCCTCCTCCTCCTCCTCCTCCTCCGCCTCCGCCTCCTCCTCCGCGTGTGGTCCAAGGTCCGCCAGCGGACCTGTAGCTCCTGGGAACGGGATGACCACGTGACCCTAGCAAGAGCGACCGCGACGCCAGGATGCACGGCCGCCTCATTCTGAGCTTGATCGCCAGCGACCTTGTCAGCCATGGTGCACCACACTGGCTGCCGTTCATCCTGCTCAGACAGGCAGGAGGCAACCTTATGAAGGTATAAACATATATATATATATATATACATATATGTATATGTATGTTGGCATCCAATATCGTCTGCTGCACTGTGAATCCGAGTCCACATATCAGAGTGCACAGCCCAGCCACTGGTGGAGGCTGACCGAGGAAGGGTGCAAAAATCAAAACCCACTGGCAACCTTTATAGTAATGGCACTGCACTCCTTCTTCTGGCGCTGCGTTCAGAAAGAAAGCAAAGCAAGCAAAAGCCTCTGCCGCAGGAACTGCCTGGACAAGCCCAGGATAATAAGATCCATAGAGCATCGTATGAACAGTTCCAAGACGATCTACAGTAGCAACAGAAAAAAACACAACGAACCGTCCAGGAAGACGGCCCTAGCATGCCAGACCCATCTCCCGAAACAGGCGAGGTCAAGACTCGACCTTGACGTCCAACTCGTCCCCATACAAATTCTACATCAAGCAATGGTGCTGGAAACATGCGCTCGGGATCAGGTACAAGTGCCGTGTAACAGACAGGGCCATGCAGATGACTCTCACGAACCCTCAGAATCCCAGGAGGCATAACAGAAGTCTGCCGATGTTGAAGAGTACCCAAGCAATCCCATAACACATGAGACTCTGCATGCGCTGGATCATCAGCTAGATGACCACAGAAAGTAGAATGAAGCGGGCGGTAGATGCAAAGCTCCTGACGGGGCAAAGGAGGAACGATGGAAAGGGGGCAGAAGGGAGGGAAAAGAAGTGGGGGAAGAGGAAAAGGGAGAGGGAGAGGGAGAGGAGGAGCAGATGGAGGAGGAGGAGGAGGAGGAAGAAGATGCGGAGGAGGAGGAGGAGGAGGAGAAGGAAGGAGGGGAAGGAGGGGAAGGCAGCTCGTCGCTACTATCAAGGATGCCTTGGTGACGGGGCTGTTGCGACACTGCTCAACCGAAGAATCAGGAAGGCAGGAGAAAGAGGAAAAGAATAATTCGCCGGCCCAACGGGCCAGAGGCGTGCTAAGATCTCGGGTAACTGGTTCACAGCATTTCTAATTCGCACGCGCGGGGCGGCCCCTGGGGGTCCCCGGACGAGAAGTACCCCGGCAAGGTCCCGGGAGAAGCCCCCAGAGCGCTCCAGGAGCGCACCAACAGGGGCCCGAGTCGTCCCCGAGAGCCCCAAGAAGGGCCAAGAGAGAGTCCGAAGACGAGCCAAGAGCGCCCAAGAGGCCCCCAAGATGGTACACCAAGGGTCCGAGATGCCACAAGATCGCTCCAAGACGCTCAAGATAGCCCCCAGAAGCCCCACGAGGCTTTTAAGAGCACTCCCAAGAGGGCCCCAAGAGGCAACATTCATTGCTTTTTCCGTAGGTTTTGGGGAGATTTTGGCGTTTCCACCTTTCCGGCATCGCGACGCCCCAAGACGGCCCAAGAGGCCCCCAAGATCGCCCTAAGAGGCCCGAGAGGCCTCCGACAGGGCACCAAGACGGCCCAAGAGGGTTCCAAGACGGCCCAAGAGGCCTCCAAGACGGCCCAAGAGGGCTTCCAGAACGCTCTAAGAGAAGCCCCAGAGTGGGAACCCGAACGGACATATCGAGCCCGCGGCCCCAAGCGGCGCCCAGAAGCCCCAAGATGCTCCCAAATGCTCCCAAAGGAGCTCCAAGAAACCCCAAAGAGGCTCCAACAGAAACCCAAGAGGCCCCCAAGAAACCCCCAACGAGGACCCCAAAAGGCCCCCAAAAGCCCAAACGCAGGCGAGGGCACAATACGGGCCGGCGGAATGAGCGAAGCAACTAATAAATAAGAACAACAAGCAGGAGGAGGCAGAAGGTGGAGAGGAAGAAGGACGAGGAATAGAAGGGCGGGGCGGAGGAGGAGAGAGCCAGAAGATGGAGGAGACGATTGCGAACGGCATGGGCAGATGCTTGGCACAACCGGAATGCTATAGCGGGGCGACTGCAAAAGTCATAGCGGGGCGACCACTCGTCAGGAATGTCATCGTTGAAGTCGTCGTCGAAGTCCAGCGTGGTTCCCTGTTTCCCGAAATCTGGCTGCAAGTCTTCTGCCCAGTCCACTCCACAACTCTTTGTAACGAATTCCTGCATCATAGCACCTTCCCACCTGCTTCACCTCATCATCCTCGCCGCGGTCCTTCTCCGCATCCTACTCGACTTCGCCCGCGTCCTCATCCTCCTCCACCTCGCCCTTGCCGTTGGTGTCAGCATCCTGGTCATCATCCTGCTCCTGCTCCTCCTCCTTTCGCTCCTCCTCGTCATCATCAATATCATCTGTTCGTCCTAATCATCATATTAAACCATATTGCCATCAGCGCATCACCCTCTTCTTGACCCAACATAGCGTAGTCATGATGATCAACATGATAGGCGCAATCCCCACCATCACCACCTCCTTGAGCAGCACCATCATCAATAGAATAGTCATCGTCGTCATCATCATCATCATCATCATCATCATCAGCATCATCATCATCATCATCATCATCATTGCCATCATCATCGCCCTCATCATCAACATCATCAACGTCATCATCGTCATCCTCAACCACCACCACGGGCATCGCCATCATCGACATCATCGTCACCATCATCATCACCATCATCATCATCAGCATCATCATCATCATATCATCATCATCATCATCATCATCAGCAGCAGCATCATCATAATCATCATCATCATCCTAATCATCATCATCAGCAGCATCGTCATCATCATCATCGTCATCGACATCGTCACCGTCATCGTCGTCATCATCATCATCATCACCATCCTCAGCATCACCACCACCGTCACATCATCATCATCATCATCATCATCATCATCATCATAATCATCATCATCATCATCATCATCATCATCAGCATCATCATCATCATCATCTCAGCAGCAGCATTAGCCGCAGCATCGTCATCAGAAGTACCACCACAACCACCATCAGCATCATCATCAGCAACAGCATCATCATCAGCAGCAGCATCATCATCACCGTCATCGCAATCATCATCATCTACCATCATCAGCAGTATCATCATCATCATTAACAATATTACCAGCAGCATCAGCATCATCATCACCATCATCACCATCAGCATCAGCATCATGATCATCATGATCAACATCACATCACAGTCACCAGCACATATCAGTATCATCATCGTCGTCATCATCAGCATCATCATCGTCATCATCAGCAGTCGCATCATAATCATGATCGTCATCCTAGTCAGCGCGATCCTCAACACCACCACCGCCTTCAGCAGCACCGTCAGCAACATCATAAGAATCGTCATCGTTAGCAGCATCACCACCGCCCTCAGCACCAACATTATCATCGTCAGCATCATCTTGATCCTGATCGTCGTCATCCTCATCATCAGCCGCATCGTCGTCGTCAGCATCATTGTCATCATCTTCACCATCGTCAGCAGTATCATTACAACCACACACATTGTCATCATCATCATCATCATCATCATCATCATCATCATCATCATCATCATCATCATCATCATCATCATCCCCCACCATGGTCGAAATCATAATCGCAAACAGAGCCATCCTCATCAGTGTCGTCATCATCGTCGCAACCGCAACCGTCATCGTCGTCATCATCATCATCACCCTCATTATCATCATCATCAGCATCATCACCATCATCATCGTGAACATCAGCATTATCGTCATAGTCATGGCCATCGTCATCGCCGTCACTAGTATCATCATCCTCCTGATCATCAGCATCATCATTGCCATCAGCAGCATCATCAGCATCAGCAGCATCAACATCAGCCGCAGCATCGTCATGATCATCGCATCCACCACAATCATCATCAGCATCAGCATCGTCATCGCCACATCATCACTTACATCATCATCAGCATCATCATCATCATCATCATCATCATCAGCATCATCATCATCATCATCATCAGCAGCATCACCATCATCATCATATCATCACCATCATCAGCAGCAGCATCATCAGCATCATTATCATCATCATCGTGATCATCAACAGCATCAGCATCAGCATCATCATCATCGTCATCATCATTATCATCTTCGTCACACTCACCATCATAACAATTATCAGCATCACGGTCATCGTCATCGTAATCCTCCTCATCCTCATCATCACCATCATCCGCGGCATCGTCGTCATCATGACCACCACCGCAAGCATCATTATCATCATCATCATCAGCAGCAGCAGCAGTATCATCATCGTCATCATCATCATCATCAGTATCAGCATCAGCATCAGCATCAGCATCAGCATCAGCATCAGCATCAGCATCAGCATCATCACATTCATCATCAGCATCATCATCCTCATCCGCATCCGCATCATCATCGTCGTCGTCTATCCTCACCGTCCCCCCCGCCCCCGCCCCCCCCGCCCCTCCCCACGACCACTTCCTCCTCCCCCCCTCGTCGCCGCCCTCCTCCTCCTCCTCCTCCTCCTCCTCCTCCCCCTCCTCCTCCGCCTCCTCCTCCTCCTCCTGCTCCTCCCGCTCCTCCCCCTCCTCCTCCCCCTCCTTGGACGACCCCTCTCACAATCTGGCCCCATCCGCCCGGCCCGACCCAGCCGCCTCTTCCACTGCCTCCGCCCATTCTGGCGCACAGCCTCCGCACCTCTCACAAGAGGGGCCCGCCCCCCCGAGACGCCGGGCCCGAGGGCGAGGAGGCCCTGGGCAGTGCCAAAGTCCCAGCCTGGACAGCCCTCTCCTGCCCCCTTGGGGCCCCTCCCTCCTCCCTCCTCCCTCCTCCCTCCTCGCCCTTCAGTCGGGCGTTGCTAGAGGTGCCCCTGGCCTGAGGTGCCCCCAGCTGTTCGCTCGATGCTGGATCCTCCGGGCCCCCTGGGCCTCGTGAGGGGTGCCCCAGAGGTGGGGGGGGCCTCCTTGGAAAGCCTGAGGGCACCTTGGGCCAGGGGCACCTCCCGACACTTCTGGCGCACATCGAGGCCCCTCAGATGGGGTCAGAGTAGATGGGATCGGAAGATCGCGCCGTATCGTCGATGCATCACCGATGCATCGGCGATGCATCGGCGATGCATCGGCGACTGGCGACGTCAGCGTGGAGAACACATCGGGATCCACATGGAGCCGCATCGCCGATGCATCGGCGAAGCGGCGCCATCCTACGACCCCATCTGCTCGGACCCCGTCTGTCCTGAGGCACGTTCCACTACTCGCAGAGTAACTATTCCCGAATGGCCTGGATCCACCGCGGGGGATTACGATCCATTATCTCGAGGCGAACATGTGATTTTCGAAGGCTTGCGAGTAGGCACTTTACGAGTAGTGGAACGCGCTCGGTGAATCTGGGAGACCTGGACTTGGAGCCCCATCCTTCGGGGCCCCACCCTTCGAACCCCCGAAACTTCGGCGCGCAGCTGCCCGCCCCCCCTAGAGGAACAAAAAAGAAAAAAAACACAAAAGCAACAAATATATACACATATTTATATATATACATATATATATATATATATATATACAGATATATATATATATATATGTATAAACAAACAAACAAACAAAAACTGTGGGAACGCCGCGCGGATTTCTTGGATCCGCGCCGGAGCCCCCCTCCTTGCGCGCGGAGCGCTCCAGGGGAGACCAGGGTCGCCCCAGCGCCAACCCAACAAATCCGCGCGGAGCGCCGAAAGCTGTTTATTCCGTGTTCTCTGCAGGGCAGTTACTAATACATAGGATGTTTACACATGTGCGATGTTTAATACATGATCAATGCATGAAGAAATGTATGCATCAACTCATCGATGCTTTCAATACTGAATCCCTGCGTGTTTAATACATGATCCGCACGCGGAGCATGTATTAAAAACGGCACTGTACTTCGATTACAATCAGTCCGTGTAATAAGGATGCGCGGTAAGGATCAAGGGCCTTGGATGCTCATCTCGAAGCTTTTCGAGAGGGGCGCGGCTAGCAAAAGCGGCCAAGGATGGACCCAGGAGGCAGAGACGCAAGGAAACCGTTGGAAGGGTTGCCTTGGAACGGTTGCCAATCCTTACCATGCGGGTTGACTGTAAGATCTCAAAGCTGCATCCACCACTGCGAGGCGCTCGGAGCCTGTGGCAAGGGGCATCTGAGACAGGCAGGAGGAGGGGGAGGAGGAGGAGGAGCAGGAGGAGGAGGAGGAGGAGGAGGAGGAGGAGACGGAGGAGGAGGAGGAGGGGGAGGAGGAGGAGCAGGAGGAGGAGGAGCCCCATCCTTGAGGAGCCCCATCCTTGAGGGGCCCCATCCTTCGAACCCCCGACACGCTTCCAGCGCGCCGCTGCGCGGAACTGGGCAACCACCTGGACAGGCCGCCTCCAAGGTCTGGGGCCAACGGGGCCACTGATCCCTGATCCTCGATCCTCGGCCGCCCTCGTCGAGGGTCCTCGCTCCTCGGCCCCTCGACCTGCTTCGCTCCCCGCGTCCTGACCCTCGATCTCCTCGACCCCTCGATCCTCGAATCCTCGATCCTCGATCCTCGATTCCCCCTCCTCGGGGAGCCTCCATGCTCGACCCCTCGATCCCCACCCCGCGCGCATCCACCGCCACGCCGAAGACCCGGGAGGAGGGAGGAGGGAGAAGGGAGGAGGGAGGAGCGAGGAGCGAGGAGCGAGGAGGAGGAGGAGGAGGAGGAGGAGGAGGAGGAGGAGGAGGAGGAGACAAACCTCGACAGCAGGAGGGAGAGAGGAGAAGGGCAAGAGAGAGAGGAGTAAGGAGGTGAGAAGGAGAATGGGACAGGGGAAAGAGGAGGCAGAAAGGAGCAGAAGGAGCAAAGGAGGAGGAGGAGGGCGGGGAGAGTAGCAGAAGGCAAAAGAAGGGGGTGGGAAAGAGGAAGGTGGAGGGGAGACAAAATGAGGGAAGGAAGATGAAAAAGAAGAAGGGAGGAGGGAGGAAAGGTGGAGAGAAAAGGAGGATAGGGGGGAAGGCAACACAGGGAGGCAAAAAAAGGGACCGGGGAAACGGAGGAGGGGAGGAGGAAAAGAAGGAGTTAGGGAG